CACACAGTGAATATCAGATCTTTGCTGAGTGAGGGCAGGATTGTGGAAAGGCAGCTTTCTAGCTTCTCTCTAAGCAGAATGCCACAGTATGGTTTTATCACGAGTTTTTCCTGTGTACTAATTTAAATATAAATACTTTGCCAAAGTCAAGTGAGGATGTGTATTTGGTCCCCATTGTGATGGTTTTGGGATCATGGAGCCTTTTAGAGACGGGGCACAATGGGAGGTAAGTAGGTCATAGGGTTTGGCCCTACAGATGGGTTAATGCTGGTCTCCTAAAGTGAGTGAATGAGTTCTCATGAGAACAAGTTGTTTTAAGTGAGGCCAACCCACATGCATGGTCCTTTCTACACCAAGACATTTCCCTTTCCACTTATTTACTGTGTTGTGTGTAGCCAGGGGACCCACTAGGATACTCACGTTATGATGTTTGGACCTTCTTTATAAAGTATCCAGCCTCGGGTATTTTGTTATAGCAACACTTGGAAAAGGGTGACCAGTGAGGAGGGAAGCTAAGCAATATGAAGTTTAAAAATGCAAATTTCCTAGACCCAGATTAGGTTATTCTGTGGAAGGGGATTATATTTATTCATTTGTTGCTTAAAGAAAAGCCTTCCTGGTCAGAAATTCTTGTCATATGAGAGAGTCCTGAGAAAGATCACAGACTGTGGAGAGAAGTTGTGTACATATGCCCCTAGTTCCAAGACATGGCTTTAGTCCTCAGGGAGATGCAAGAGGTTGGAAAGATTTCCTCTCATGCTGAGAAGAAGCCCTGCAGGACTCCTGAGAGTGTGTAGTCCAGCCAAGACTTGCAAGGGCTTGAGGTGAGAAAGGGCCTCCAACACTGTGTAAGGCTCCTTATGCCTGTGCTCAGACATCTAAATCAACCCAGCTCATGTTTGCTTCTGGCTTTCTGCAAGGATCTAAGAAAAAAGGTTATATGAGGAAAAGGAAGCTGCCAGATTCCTGGAAGAGTACTTGGTACTCAGGGACTATGTAAGTCGTGCTCCTATAAACAAACCTTTTTCTGTTCAGGAGGCAGAGCAGTTAGATGAGGACATGCTTGATGCAGGATTAGAACTTAGCTGCAAGGCAGTGATTAAGGGTATAGTAGCAGCCTTCCTGGGAGATCATGGCGTGAGTTACTTTTCTCTGCAGAGATGATATGTTGTCTGAAGGTTTGAAAAACCTACTGATGGTCTTAACATAGCTGACCAGGAGTTGTTTTCCATATGGTTAAAATGGAAAGTTGTCTCTGTCCATGATGTTCCCTGCTTATCTGAGATGCTCAGGAATCGGAGTGAGTGAGGAAGAGCTCCCCCGAGCAGGAGGGATGAGACTTTCTGCTATCTACTTTCAACCTGACAAATGCGGGTGCTGCTGGCTTTGTGTCCCCTCACAGAATGCTCAGGAATTAAAGAAGCACAGATCTTTTCTGGGGTCTTCTGCAGAGGAAGATAGAAATGTAAAAATGACATGCTTGGCAGAGGAATTCTCCCTAGCTTGCTAGGTTCAGCTCCTTTCTTTGGTTGACTTTTTCTTCAACAAATGAGCTTGTCTTTTAGAATGAAGGTCACTTTTCACAAGGAAATGGACTGTGTCATCCCAGAGACAAAGCAGCTCCCTCACAGGGTGGAGAAGAGGGCAGCCTGGCTTAGCGGTAAGCATAGAATTGCAGGCGGATGCTGTAGCTTCGGAGAGGACAGAAAGCTTTCATACATACCCTTAAGAGCTTAACCTCAGCATGGGTTGCGTGGGGAAAATACCGCTGTCCCTGTCTCCACTCGCTACTGGCATGATGACTTAGTGGTTTCCACCAGCAAATGAAGGAATCTCGATTTCTTGAGTTGCTATACATGCAATTCCTGCATCATGCCAATATTTTAGACTTCTTTTTGTCAATTCATTCTGGTCCTATTAATAGAAGCAGCCTGCTCTCTAATACCTAGAAGGGCTAGTCTCAGGGTATGCGATCCATGCACTGGCATGGGGCTCCATGTTTGGAGGGACCCTGTGTTTGGTTTAATGCTCTGCTGTTTTGTCTTGAAATTCTTAATAATTTTTGAACAGGGAGTTCATAGTTTTTTTTTTTAACTGAGTCCTGCAAATTGTTTATGGCCCTATATGCCAGACACTCTCCCTCCCTCTCCTTTACTCGGAAAATCCCTCATCCTCCTGTCTCAGCCTCAACATCCCTGCCACAGGGCAACCCTGTTGGCTGCAGCATTATAAACTGGTAACTATAACAACATGGCCAATATCAATGGACTCTTTACTACATGTCATGTACTGAGCTAGGTGGTTTACACACATTTTCTCATTTTAGCTTCTCACGAACACCATGGGGCAGGTATTAGCATCTTTCCCCTTTGGGAGATGAGAAAACCAACAGCAGCTTAGAGAGGCTTAGTATCCAGGCTCACTAAGCCTGCTGTGGTACTTCACTGCATTGTGGATCACTGTAATGACCTGCTGTCTGCCTCCTTACCTAGACAGCAAGTGCCAGGGGTCAATGTCCTTTTTGTTCCCTGCTGTACCTGTGGCACACAGTGGTTGTCTAGGTACTTTGTAAGGAGTACTTAGCTAGGTACTCCTGTATGTCTAAATTCCCAGAGACAACACTTTGGGCCAACTCAAGACAAGAACATTGAAAGAACACTTTGAACAATCTCAAAAAATTGAAAACAATGTGCCTTTATCTTAGACCCTCCTCTGTGTATTGGGTTTCATTGGATTAGGCGTCTGGGGCACGTGGATAAGGGAAGAGCATTGGCCTTGGCAGTGTGTAGAGGTGCAGGCATCCCCAGCTCCTCCACTTGCAGTGTCAGCCTGTATGCATGAGTGTGCTACAGAGAAGCGGCGTGTGTCCAGAGTCTGCCCTAGGGATGTGACATGGTTGGGGAGGCCAGGAAAGGGTTCCACAAGGACTGAAGACCAATGGGACCAAAGGACACAGGGAGGCGGGAGACAGGGATCCCCGTGCTAGGAACACTCTGGGCACAGACTCTGGAAAGGAGAGAGCGTGGCCTCTTGGGAGGGCTGAGTGGAAGTCAGGGTTGGGAGATGTGGCCAGCTGACAAGATTGCAGGAAGGATAAGACATTTTGTCTTATCTTTGTTTGTTTGTTTTTCAGTGCTGGGACCCAAACCTAAAGCCTCATGCATGCTAGGCAAGCACTCTAAGTGAGCTGCACCCAACCCTTTCTCTTCATAGCTATAGAATTTTAAGCAGGGGATGACATGACTTGCATTTTATAGAGGTTGCTCTGGTGGCAGAATGCATCGATGAGGAGGGACTAAGTAGGTTCTGGGTGGGCGGTGTAGGTGTGTGAATATACCGCTTCCCGGTGCTTATTTGTGAGGCACTATGCTTGTTGAGGGCAAATTCCTTCAGCAATCAAAGGAGCTCATCTGTGGTGAGAAGAGGAACCATTGGGGCATCTCAAAATGATGTCATACATGAGCGAGGGCAAAGCTGGCACATGCATTCACCCTGGCCCAGCCAAGTTCTGGATGGGGTGTAATTAGGCCAGCGCACATGGAATTTGGGGATTTCTGACTGCTGGCAGAAAGACCTGCAGGGAACTTTTCCAGCTGCAAAATACCTATAGAAACTCAGCCCAGAATCCAGCCTGACTTTTCAACTAGGTTTGGCTTAATGGATCTTGTGTACTTGCAGGTGAAGAAGCGGGTGTGAGGGACCTTGGCATTGTCCATTCAAGGAGCAAATGTGCCATCAATTGGGATAGAAAAGCACAGTCACTTGCAGTTTGAGCATCAGATGTGCCAACCCAAAGTAACTGTCATTGAGACTACAGCCAGGCAAGGGTCTGCTGTTCCTCCTATGACTGGCTGGAGACAAATGCCTGGAGTCTTCTCTGGGCGACAGGATGGGCTGTTACAGAAAAGAGGGGCAGGAAGCAGACTCTCAGGGCCTCCTTCTCACCTTGTATCACCTTGCTTTGCTCTTGGGCCGGTCCCATGACCTCTCAGCCTAAACTCCTTCAATTATAAATTGAAAGGTCTATACAGAATAATTTCTTCCAGTTCTAAAGTCCTAGAATTCTTTGTTCTGAAATTTGGATAGACATGTGACACTTTCTTTCTTTCTGTCTTTCATTCTTTCTTTCATTCATTCTTTCTTTCAAATTTTGTTTTAAAGAGGATAAAACCAAGGAAAATAAAACAGAATAAAACCAATCGAAATAAACCAGTACAAGTGATATAGGACTTCAAAACCTTAAAAAACCAACAGTAGTTACCACAATGCCTTTTGTTGCCTTCAGAATAGCTGCAGATACTTTTGGACATAGTAAAAATCAAACAGAACAGAACAGAATAGAAACAATAAAAGCAAAACAATGAATGCAATAAAGGACTTCAAAACAAGGCAACAGTAAATCCACAATGGCTACCATACTATGACTTGCTATCTTTCAAATAGCTGCTCATATTATCAGATTTAACATAATCAAAACAAAAGAGAATAAAACCCAACCCAACAAACAATGAAAACAATATGATTTCCAGGTGGGGATCACCTCCCAGTGAGGCCTGGTTGTCTCTCCCTGCAGTCTGTGAATGGCTTAACTCATGGAGAGAGGCTTGAGTGTGGCTATCAGCAGTGTGTTTCTGAACTGGTTTCCAGGCAAGGATCACCTGGTTCTCTCCCTCCACAGTCCGTGAATGGCCTCAACAGGGTGACTTTCAGGTCACTAAGAAATTCAATTTTCTGACAAAATGGTGCAGCACTAGTCATTATAGCTAAGAGAAATAAGAAATAGTATGCTGGTGTATGGCCGCTGTGGCCCCTGCTCTAATTCAAGGTCTCTCCAGTTTACGGCACTGGATCTTTATCCCTGTTGGATTCCTCACTCCGGTCGTGATAACCACATGGGTATTCTTGCCCCAATCAGAACAAATATAGTGTTGGGCCATTTCTTTCTAAACTAGTGAAGTATCCTGTTTTTAAAAATGTTTTCCTTTCTCCCAAACGTACAGGTACAAAGGATTTAAGGGCAACTGTTCCATGACCTTCATCGATCAGTTTAAAGCACTGCACCAGTGTAACAAGTACTGTAAAATGCTGGGGCTACAATCCCTCCAAAGCAACAACCAGAAACCAAAGAAGCCAAGTGCTGGGAAAAGCAAAGTTCAGACAAACTCTCTAACAGTGAAGAAGCCAGTGTCTGGGGCCCCAGCAGAAAAGAAGAGCTAGCAGCCCTCAAAGACGAGTGGGCACCAGCTGGAATACGCTGAAGACGTCCAGAAGGAGGTAGCACCAGCCTGCAGGGAGCGTGTGGCAGCCCTTACTCCCAGCCACCGGCGCCCAAGATGCCTCTGCTCTCATCCCATCACCTGCCATCTAACGAAACGGTCTCGGCATGGGATTGGTGACCAGACTGTGGAGACACTGCATCAGACGTCAGTGTCCAATACAGTCCCCTCTTATGTGTACACAGCATTTCTACCAACCTTACGTCTTGTGTCTGTTTGTGTATTTGCACACAGTTTTGTTGTCAAGGACTTGGTGCTGAACAGGGTCTGTCCACAGCCCAAATCCTGCCTGCCTCACTCCTCAGCTCAGGATTCTAGACCTATCCAGTTTTGATGTGAACACGAGTCATCAGTGTCAAGATTTGCACGAGTGTTGAGCACACTGCTGTTGCTGGAAGAGGCTTCTGAAGTGTAAGGCCACCTCCTACCATTATTCTCAGTCACTTAAAATTTTCTGTTTCAATAAATTCATAGTTAAACAGAGTTGAAGATGCATAAATTTGTACCATAGTTCATATTCCTCCAGAATTTAGTTAATTTCCTAATAGGTTCATTGGAGCACAAAATGTTTGTATCTACGTTCTTACATTACATTACACCTTCATTGGTTTTTGTTGTTGTTGTTGTTTTTGTTTTTTTTTTTTTTTGTCTTTTTCATTTTTATCGGTACCGGGGATCAAACTCACGACCGCCTGCTTGCAAGGCAGGTGCTTATGCCACTGAGCTAAATCCCCAGCCCCCTACACCTTCATTCTTACATTACACGTATGGCTTCATTATTTTCTACTTTGCTCCCTAAACATGGTCTCCCTTAACCCAGGGCTAATTCTCAGTGGGTTACACCAGAGATGGGGTGCCCAATTTGCAGGGATCCTGCCCTCCTCTACTCCACACGCATCTCCTCCCAGCACAGGTCTCCCCTTCTTTTATAGATCGCTGTAGGAAGTTCTGGAAAAAGCAAAAATGACGGAAGATGTGTGTGCAGCCCCTCTCTGAGGGGTCAGGAGGCCTTCAGCGTGAGGCTCTTGGCTTCTTTGACTGTAAAACACTGTCTCAAGAGTAAACTTAGATGGGATTTTTGCTTTGAAAGGAATTTGAAGGAGGCAATGCTTGTCAGTCGCATCTCATCTTTTTTAGAAAAATTGCAAGTTGTCTTTTGAAGTAATTCCCCACCTTATCAACTATAAACTACTCATTTCTTTAATATATGGCTGGTAGTTTGCTCTGTCCATAGAGATCCTACATATGGGGTGTTCTGAAAAGTGCCACAATGGTGAAAAGTTTGATTAAGTCTGTCATCTATGTACCTTCTCTCTACGTGTCATCTACCTATCAGCCATCTACTTACACCATCTATCATTTATCATCTAACATCTGTCCATCTATCATCTATATCTTATTATCTATCTGTATTCATCAATGAATCACCTGTCTGTCAATGTGGGGAAAACAAAAGCAGGGTACTTTCTTTGGTAATAATTTGTACTAAAAAAAGATAATGTCAACACAAATGTTAGAAAGTACAGAAAGGTGTGAAATGAAAAATCAAAGTCATATTGGAGTCCTCTTTCCCTCTAGCTATCTTTGAATCTTGATCCGGAGAGACAGTTGCAAGAAAAGTATTTTGTGATTTGTGGCCAGTCCATGTCATGCCTCCTTTGGATGGATCTATCCCTGCCTCCTCTCATAGATGCTTAGATTTTTTCAAAGTGCCCATGTTGTTTATTGTTATATGATTTCACTTATTCATATACATTTGGAGGCCCAGAGACAGAAGGGGCCCCTGCAGCGGGATTTATTGCAGCCAGGACTTTTAAGGATGGCCTTGGTGTGGGTGTGTGGCCATCTGTCTAGTCATCCCTTCTGTTTTGAGACAGAGTGCTGTTTTTCTAGTAACAGGGTGAGCTGAAAGTGGGCTTTCCTGCACCACAGTTATATGTCTTAGGACCATCCTCCCTCATTTTAGGTCAATTTTTAGCACATCGTTTCTGTTGGTTCTCCCATTGGTCTTCCTAAGTGTGCAGGGGAATCCATATAATGAATGCTCAGCCCAACCACTGAACAAAGATGGCTCTGGGGATGGAGCTGGGGGTTTTGTACCCTGCTGATGCCTGCAGGGTGGTCACGTATATATATTTCTCCATTTCCCAAAGGGCTTGATAATGGAGCTGTGTGATGGACAGATCACAAAAACAAATGAAAGCTTCGTGAAAATGGGTCTGTATTCACAACAGCAGGTTTATCGCTAATGAAATGGCAGGGAAGGATGACTTCTTGCCAGTGGACAGCATGTTCCGGAGAGGTCTAGTGCTGGATGTGGAAGTGGCTAGCTTGCATTAATATTTCATGGGATCTTCTTGTAACAGTGCCTCCCAGCCTCATCCTAGTGAAGAGTATTCAATTGAATCATATTCAAAAGAATGCCCAAAACAGTAACAATTGGTTTCTAATTATAAAGTGCGCTCTTTCCTAAATATACATCCTGTTTTATGTGTATGTTGAGCCTGCATTCAACTGGATCTGGATGGGAGGAATTACCTGGTTCCAGCTTGTTTTCTCTGTGCAAGCTGCTCAGCTGGACATGCACAAAGGACACTGAACAGCGTTTATCCCCATCTGGATCTGTGGGTGCCACTTGGGTTTAACTAGCTTTTTTTATTCAAAGGGGGACAAATATTTTTCTGTCTCTTATCAGAGGGTATAGTTTCATCCCCTTGTTGTTTTGAGCCTGCTTCGTGTAAAAGCTGAAGTGCAAGATAAGAAGCACTGGTGTCTGTACAGTCACACGAGCCCTGCCTTCAATTTTATGATGTTATAAGCAAATATTTACAAGTGCCAGTTGTGTTCATTGATCAAGATCTTAAATTCCATTTTTCATGAGAGCTCTAACTGATCCCAGATAGAAAGCATCTCAGAAACTGTCTTTAAAATCACACTGTTTTTGTTTCATGTCATCAAGAAAGCCAGTCTGCCCGCTACCATTCTAGGGTCCAGAGGTATCAGAAGCAATTCTGTCGCAAAATTCCACCTCCGGGCCTCCTTGTAAACCATCACTTCCTCTCTCTGTACAACTGTGAGGAAAGAACGTAGTGGCTTACTGTTTTCCAGTGATAAGTGGCCTAGTGGCAACTGTCACTTCAGTACTCACTATCAAAATGCTACCATAACACATTGTCACTGCTGTTGGGACTTACACAACAGAGATCTATTGTCTCACAGCTCTGGAGGCTGCAAGTCCTAAAACAGGTTTGGGCATGGCTGGCTCCTCACAAAAGTTTCTGGGGAGGGCTATGTTCCAGGCCTCTCTCTGGCTTCTTGGAGTTGGTTGGCTGGTGGCTGTACTACTTTGGTCCCATAAGACGTTCTCACTGTGTGCGTCTGTGTTCCAAATTCCCTTTCAGACAGAGAGACCAGTCATATTGAATTAGGTTCCCACTTTAACTTGAGTATGTCCTCATTTTAACTTGATAAAGGACCATCATTCCGAATAATATCATATTCTGAAATAATTAGGATTTTCACATAAGGGTTTTGAGGGAGATGATTTAACCCACAACAGTATTTTCATCTTTCACATCCACAACCACTTTCATACAGATTTTTGAGGCTGCATGTCCAAGTGAGAGGACGTAAGCATGGTGCCCTTGGCCCTTCAGGATCCTTCTTTCCTGACATTGACGTGGGGGCCCAGTGCACAGAAGGGGTTCCCACTTCTCTTGGAATCCACCCTCACCTCCAACATTTACCACTCAAACATCATCATTTAAGTGTCCAGGGTCATTTTTCAGAATTTTATGGAGATATCTCCCCTCATCGGAAGCTGGACAGACAACCATTGTTGTTCGTAGCACAGTTTTTACCAAATCCCAGAGTCCTAGACTTCACAGTGTGACCTCAGTATCTTTTTTTTTTCCCTTTATGGATGATTTATTGCTTTTCTTTTTTAAAAAATTTATTTAAGGAGAAAAAGAAAAAAAAGCAGAAAAAGGGTACAAGTTATACAGAATTTCAGAAAAAAAATAAACAGTAGGAAATCACTAATGGATTACATATTGTCATCTTAGAAATAATTGTTCAATTACAAAATTAAAGCATATAAAGTGGACATTCCAACAGTGAGACTGCAAACATTTCTGTTCAATGATCCAACAAAACTCAGTAATATCATTGTCTATCTTATACACTTAAATATACATGCAGTTATATCATTTAGAGCATTTTCTTTTCCTCTCTTTTGTACAACGACTATTACATATTTTGGGTTTTATTGCTCCCACAGTTCTTATTACTTTTTTTGGAAGAGAGTAAAACCAAATGTGACATAACAGAACAGAATCGGTCAAATCAAAAGGGTGGACATAATAGATAATGTAAAAACATAATACAAGGTGATCAACAATGGTTACCATAATGCCTCCCGCTATCTCAAATAGAGTTGCCTATATATCAGTTATAATAAAATTGAACAAAACAGTAAAGAACGAAACCAACAAAACCAAAACATTGGAGACATTACAGGTCTTCAAAAGTAGATAATAGTTAACCAGAATGGGCGTCATAATGAATCCCACTATCTTCACAGCTGTTGCCTAAACTTTCGAACCTGGTACTATCAAGCAAAACAGAATAGAGGGACATCAGTCAAAACAAGATGGTGAGAGCAATACAGGGCTTCAAATCAAGTTAATAGAAAATCAAAGTGGGTTACTATAATATATCCTGCTATTTTTTATTTATTTTTCCCTTAATTAAAAGGATAAAAATAAAAAAGTAAATAATAAAATAGAGATTGAGATAAAAGAGGGCATAACAACAGAACAGCGCAGGGTCGGGCCTGGTTAGTACTTGGATGGGTGACCTCAGTATCTTAATGGAAACACTGTCCTTGGAACTCTAACCAACTGCCCACAAGATCACTATAGCACAGTTGAGTCTGTTAAAATCAAAATTCTAAGATGCTTCTTGTATTCTTAGAACCCCCAATAATTATCCAGCTGTTAAGGTTTAGATCTACAGTGTCCCCCCGAAAGTCTCATGTGTTCAGAGATGAGGCTCTTAGGAGAGTGGATTATGGGAATAGTATAGTTATAAATATCTGTATTTCATTAGTAATAGAAAAATGAGTTTCATAAATTTTACTATTTATTGGGGGAAAATTGTACAAGAAAAGATTGCTTAAAATGTTTCACCTGTACATTAACTTTTTTTGTTTTTACTACTATTAGTATTTAAGAAAGACAGAATGGAAAGAAATCATATGATGCATTTATGTAATAATTCCTCTTCAGGGGTAGTTTTCAAAAGTCAGTCCACACTGACTGTTCCCTTGACCCTATGCTGTACAGCCCCTGTCTTTAGGCAACTGAGATTTTCATGATTTTGCTGAATGTCTCTCAAAAACTTTCTTTTAAGTATCCAGAAGCCCTCTCTGCCTAAAAACACTCCAGGACTTGCTGACAAACCCACATCCATCATCCTCACTGTTTTTA